GAATCTGTTAAATATCATATCTGGGGAACATATAGCTATCCACTGACATGCCACGTGCCAAGAAAGCAGACAGAGGAGCAAAGGAATGTTTAATGTTTCAAAGGCGATGCTCGGCGCTCCAGCTGCAGAGCACATGTGAGAGCCGAGCTTCTGCTCCTGCCGGCCGCCGCCGGGAACTCAACTTCCCACACCAGCGTGCTGCTCTGGCAGAGACAAAGCAGTGCTTTCCATGGAGGTTTCTAAAAGCACTGATGTTAGGTAGGGCAAGTGATTTGCTCGCTCTCCAGCAAGGGACAACAGATGTCAAGAATAACTGGAAAAAAAAGAAGTGTGTGTGTGTGTGTGTGTGTGTGTGTGTGTGTGTGTACATACTCTGAATACACTCATGCCAACATGCCAACAAACCTCCCTGGGTGATTTTAAAGGGAATCAAGGTGGAGGGCTACGTTTTTACTTAATAAGGCTGACAGGATGCGGTCTTCCTTCAGCTGCTTCTGTCCTTAAACAGAGCAACGACACTAATCACTAAATCCCCAAAGGTGCTGTAGCAGTAACAATTAATTCAGAAGACAGAAGTGGCAAAATAGCAATATTCAAGTATTGATAAAAACACACCCAGTTTTAGGAAGTGGGTTTCAACTGTCACTCTCCTGACCAGGACCTTCTTAGGACCCACAGGACAGACTGCCGCCCTCTGTAGAGCAAGCCCTGCCCCTCATCAGAACTCTGAGATCTGGTTTCCTGCTGGGTATTGGGGAGACACTTCTGTATAGTGTTTTGGGGTGAACTCTCTGGCTAACTCAAAAGAGTGGAAAGTGGACACAGTGATTAAAGCAGATGGGGGTGTGTGTGTGATGGGGGGGGGGCGCAGGAATTAAAAATGTTAGATTTCACCAGTATCAGGACCCAAGAGAAACATGAAACAACCATTCTTAAATCCCCACGGGTATGAAGGAAATTCTGGCCAAAGATGCAAAGTTCTGGGGGGAAAGGGTTTTCCTCCGGGCCAAATGTCTGGTTTTGTCCATCTCTGGGCAATTAATGAGCGTGAGCTAAGAGAAGGAGGTGAAGGGTTCATGCGTCTCCTATATTTAGAATGAAACCCTGGGTGTGGACCCATCCCCTTTGATTTATTGCTAATGACAACCTGTGTACGATCTGTATTAATTACAAGCAGAAGAGCATCAGGGAAGCATCAGGCACACTTAGCTGGATGGAGGCCTCGCTTTAGAATTCGCAAGATGCAAGCAAAGGCAGCTCTAAGTACAAACTAATCAGGAATGGAGGAAGAAAGCGAGGCATGGTGGCTACGGGTAAGCTGGAGGTCCTTTACCTTGGGAGACCACTGTATTTCATTTTAATCATCAGCTAAGCTAACGCAAAGAGAAGCACAGGAACCCCGGAAGGTTACTGAGTTTACAGACGCCGACTTACTTGACTTGGAAAACACAAGAGGCTATCATGATTACAAGCATGACATAGAAGATGGCGTAAGTTAGCTGCATTTTCCCCGTCACAGAAAGAGTGATCATGCCTGAGACAGCTTTCACTGAAATCACAGTCAATGAGGCTGGAAGACAAAAACACAGACAAAACTCATATTTGAGACAGACATTACAGACACGTAAACTAGGTTTACTGGCTGGAGTGGCAAGTGTGCCAATTATGCTTTCAGGACGATGTTTGGGAGGGCGCGTGGCAGGGTGGGGACCTTCTACTTCTGCAGCAAGGTGCTCGCTTTCCAGCCCTGACTGTTGGAAGAATGCCACGGAGATGACAGGAGGCAATAGAGGATGGGAAAGGCAAATCAGCGAAGGGCAGTATCAGGTCAGAGTGCCTTCAAGGAAAAATGACAAACTACAGTGAAAAGTTCAAAACTGAATAGCCGAGAAGCCAGGAAGTCAGAAGCTACTCACCGAGTCGCCTGCGCTTACTGAGGCTTGTGCTAAGATTGTGTTAGTGGATGCCCTGTACTTTCTGACAAAGACAATTAAGAGGACCAGGACTAGAACTGAGTATTCATTTCTCAGACTGAACCGTAAATGTGACATTTACGGAAGCAGCATCTGCTGATTTTTCTGTGCTGAGGAGGGTCTCCGGCGGGAAGAGGCAGGCAGGTCTCTATGAGTTCAAGGCCAGCCTGGTCTACAGAGTGAGTTCCAGGACAGCCAGGGCTACACAGAGAAACCTTGTCTTGAACTCCATCCCCCCCCAAGAAGAAATCAATTGTCATCTTTTTCATAATTTATTTTTATTTTATGTGCATTGGTGTTTTGCCACGGGTATCAGGGTCACTGACACTGGAGTTACAGACAGTTGTGAGCTGTCATGTGGGTGCTGGGAATGGAACATGGGTCCTCTGGAAGGGCAGCCATGCTCTTAACCACTGAACCATCTCTCCAGCCCCCAACTGTTATTTCATCCTCAAGTCATTTTTTAACATTTGGGCACATCGTTATTTTACCTTTTTCAAGGAAGAATGTATCACAACTCGTGACTCACTCAGTTTATACCACTTAGGAACTTATTTTCCATCACCACTAAGTATTTCCTATGCCATGAAGTATTCTAAAGACTTTTATTGGCTGTCAGGAATGCCTTTGTATGAGGTGTATAATTTATTTGACAATTTCCTATTTTTGGGTATTTAGATTGAATTCTTTTTTTCTCTCTTCATTAAAATGAGGCTGCGGTGAATTTTCCTGAACACAAATCTGTCCATCATTCTGCCTATTTCCGTGGAAAATCACCTGAAGGGGAATCAGTGTGTTGACAGCCGTTGTGTGAAGGCTTCTGAGACGGCCTCACAGACAGCCTTCTGGAGAAGGGAGTCATGCTGTCACAGTGTCAGTCAGTCTTCATGACACAATTTTTTTTTTATTGTTTTCGTTCTATCTTTCTCTATCTTCTTAATCACCAAACATAAACACAAATTCCTTTCATCGCTACAATACGTTCCCCTGGCATCCTGCTCCTTCCTGATTTGATTTCTGGCTTTCTTCAGTTTAATGCTTAGTTCTTTCTCCCATTCCAGGGATTGCTGGGGTGACAAGATACGAGGTTAACATCTCCTGATCAAAGCCATCGATATTTCAGTCGTTAATTTTGCTTTGACAACCGGATTGTGCTGAAAATAGGGTGAGGTTTCTGGATTCCCAGTGTTCTGAGCCTGGAGAGGACTGTGCATCGAGGCTTAAGATTTTTTGTTGTTGTTGTTTTAAGAAAGGAGGTCACAGACAGTCATTAGCAATCCTCACCACATTGTGTGACAGAACTCAAAACCTAAACCATGCCCAAATAACAAAAAGACTCACTAGATTTATCCTGAGACCTCACTGACATTCAAAAATTGCTAAGGAAATACAATTTAAATGCTCTCAGTACACACACACACACAAATGGTCAGTGTTTGAGGTGATGGGTATGTTAACTGTTGGTATGATTTGTGACAACGTTGTTCATAACTCATAACACCTCTTTATCCCATAAGTTTATATAGCTATACATTGTCAATTTATAATTAAAGTCTCTAGAATTAGGGGTAGTATAGTATATAGTATATAGTATAGTATATAGTATACTACACTTGAGGGGTAGTATAAAAACCTAGTAGAAGTTTCCATACACAGACACACACACACAAACACACACACACACACACACACACACACACGAGAAGATTATGATCTAAGTGAAATCGCCTAATAACGGGGGAGACAGAGCCCCAACTGTTCATCTCTTGTCATCAAATGAAGCTTCTAGTCTTGAGATTGGATTACACCTAACTGAGCTGTTGGACAAAGGGGTCCCATAGGAATCCTCAAACAACCCAGGTTGTTACCAAGACTATAGGCTGCTCTCCACAAGTGACAGCTCCCCATTGCTGAAGACAACACCTACACAACTCACTGAATATGGAAAAAACGGCTGGCACCTGCGTAGAGCCTTCGCCCCTAGGTTCTAGCATCTCTGGCACAGGAAGGTACTCTGGATGCTACCCGAAGAAA